TTTATTTGCCCTCCATTTGACTTTAATACGGCTTCAATTCTTCTTGGCATTGAGGAAATAACCTCTTCAAAAACAGAAACGTCAAGTTTTCCCACTCCTCCTTTAACGCAATTTTAAGTTCGTCCTCATTATCCTACAACACCTTCCAAATATTCTCAATTAGGTTTAGGTCTGGTGAATTCGTTGGCCAATTGATACTTATGATTTATGGATCGGTACGTTATCTTGCTGAAAACTTGCACGGTTCCCAGTTAATACCGTAATTGCTTTATCTTTTAAGATTCTAAGATAAACAGCCGAATTTATCCCCCCCCCCCGTCATTTTTGTATTCATCACAAGATACCAGTGGTTCTTTGTGTCTTCCCGCAAAACACCCTCAAGCCATTACAGATTTTCGTCCACTTTCATAAGTAGGCACCAAGCAATTAGCATTAAATCTTTCTCCAGTGTGTCGCCAAACTCTTGATTGTCGTGATAGCTTCCCAATTTCCACACTCGTCGTTTTATCAGAGAAGATTATATTCGCACAATCATAAGCTGTTTTATTTTGATTTTCTTCACACCACCTAAAACGAATATAAGCATGTGTATCCGAAATGTAGGGTTTCTTTGCTAATAAGGTCCGGCATCATATAATACATTTGCGGCAGTTGACAGACTACAGTTAAGCCCTAATTGTTGACAATTTCGCGGAGTGGTATATGTCGTTTTTCATTAACTTTACATACGAGTAAATTTTTTTCATTGTTATTAAGGACTGGCGGTCTTCCAGAACGAGGTAAGTTTTAACTTTTTCCCGTCCTTTTGTACTTAGCAATAAAGCGCCGTATTGTTGTGGGATCACGTCCAAGCATTTTGCGATTTGGGTGGCATTTTCGGTTTCCATGTATGCCAGAATCTTCCCTTTTTCAAGTTCGTTTAGTTGTGTACGAGTGGACGTCATTTTTTTTTATATAACAACGCAACGTTATAATATTGATGAGTTGTAAAAAGTAAACAAACCTCAAACCGGGAGAAAACTCGATATACCATACCGATACATATTGAAATTGGTTACACACGCAAATCGGCAACACTTTTTGGGGGTTCGTACATGTACATGTACATGTATAATGAGATTTTGCTGGAAAAAATAACTTTTGTGTGAATAACTTCTGGAATCGTAAGAGGAGATACCAAATTTTCCGGGACTATTCGTTATTATTGTCTTGATGCTAAATTTTTCCGATTGTAACACGGATTGCAAATAAGGAATTATATCAACAAATCTTTGTTCGATTTGCAAGCAAAATGGCAACTGAACTAAAAGTCGAAGACATTAGTGACATGCCTGTCCTTATACTGAATGGAATCCGTCTTTTACTTGAGAATTATTTCAATCTTTTCATCGTATTGTCTTTAAATATTTTCTTCGCCACACTTTTTTTCATTTTTTTTTTTAGCACACCAAAACTCGAAAACCTTAACGTCCAAAGATATAGCGACCTACCTGTCTTTATACAACTTCCCATGCTGAATGGCATTCATCTTTTACTTGAAAATTATTTCAATCTATTCATCGCGCTTTCTTTCAATCTTGTCGGACTTATTTTCATTTTTTTTTATAACCCATCAAAACTAAAAGACATTAAAGTTCAAATAAATGACGACACACCTATCCTTATACAACTTCCCATAAATAAAACACTGAATGAAATCCGTCGTTTACTTGCCGTTGAACCCAATATTCGAATGGGTTCAAAAATGGATTTCATGACTCTAGATGCTAGAATCTCACAAAACAACGAATGTGATTGCTTTTTATCAAAAATTCTTTACGATAATAATCTAAAACTTATCGGCGAACAGGAACAAGACTGGAACGAATCAAAACTAAAAGAAATTAAAGTTCAAATAAATGACGACACACCTATACTTATACAACTTCCCATAAATAAAACACTGAATGAAATCCGTCGTTTACTTGCCGTTGAACCAAGTATTCGAATGGGTTCAAAAATGGATTTTATGAGCCCGTTTTCCAGAATTTTGCAAGACTACGAATGTGATTATTTTTTATTAAAAATTCTTTATGATAATAATCTAAGAATTATTGGCGAACAGGAACCAGACTGGAGATACATAAAGGAAGTATGTAAACTGGAGTATGGAGTTAACTTTTTGAAAAAAGGCCCAGAGAGCGCGAAGAAAAAAGCATTTGATATTACGAGACTTCATCTTAGAAAGTTAGAAAGACCAAAAATAATTGATGAAACGGTCGTGTGCAAAACAGAAATTGATAAAATTTGTGTAGAAAATCTTATAGAAAAATCTCAAGTCACTGCAAATTTGCTGTGGTGAGTTAATTTCATATAAGAACTTTATTTTGAATATATTTGTGTGCTTATACATGTATTTTAATTATAGGTCATCGATTTCGGCGACCCTCAGTAGATCTAGAAAGACTGAAAAGCATATAAACATTGAAAACTCAATTACTTATCTTTCGACAAAAAGGATAACAGCCACAATTTCATATTCTGAATCAGAAGTAAAACCAACAGAAGGATTTATAAAGGATGTTGACAAAGCGCTCGCATCAGCTGATCCACATAAAAACCTTGAAAATGTTGCTAAAGAATACGGTCCATTGTGGTGCAAAAAACTCGAAATTGGTGGCCGAATTCTATATAAAGAAAGCCAAGAAAAAAACATAAACGAGTATAATAACTCGAGAGAAAAAAAAGCTTCTGGGAAGCTAAAAGCAGCTGGATATGCCGAGATTGGCGGAGAAGCAGCAAGAAGTCAACAATTGAGACAAATGGATTCATTTGCTAATGAATATTCTTTTTTTCGAATGTTTGGTGGCTTGGAAGAAAGTTATCATGAATCCGGAATGTCTGGTTAGCAAAAATATAAAGTCGTTCAATTTTATGATTTTATTTTAATCTTAATTTTTTTAGGATGGATAAATTCATTAGACGACTATCAAAAATGGGAGGTAGCGGAGTATACTGAAATAAATTCAATTTTTGATATTCTGGATCAAGAAAGAAGATCAAAAGTTGCAAGAAAACGAATCGTAGAATCAAAAGTTGAAACATTACATTTCGAATGGACCTTTCTCAAACCGATCCATATATCTATGATAGATTGCCCCCACTTTCAAATACAGATCATATATTCGTGACAGTAATGAAAGAAGACGAATCAGTATCAAAAAAATTATTTGCTACATGAATTCATTATATAGACGACGACAAAAACACGCCTGTAATTATAATTCATCGTCTGGGAAAATTAAAAGAGAAATCATCAATAATTGAGGTTAAATTGAAATTGGGTTGGATTGTGGTTAGAAAATCCACAATGTTGAATTTATTCGGGCAGCCAGTTTTTGAAAGTGATGAAATCGAAATTAAAGCAAATGATAACGATAAGCGACTTATGGCTGTTATTCCGAATAAACGGAAATTTGATCCAAATAGTAGTCTTTTGGCTACTTGTGTTTCAAAAACAGATTCGCAAGATGATCCGAGGGATTCCAAATATATCGCGGGAACTCATTTTGTTTATAAGGATGGTGCTCTTGAGGCTTGTGCTTTTTGTTATGATCTTCAAAATAGTAAGGTTTATACGTATTGAGACTTTATTTTCGACTATTATGGACTAATTATTTGCTATCATTATCGTTATATAAAGTGAAACCATGTCTTCAATTTGATAATATTCCAATTAAACTTTCGGTCAATTACAGGTAAGGTTTGTAAGTTAAGTAACTTTCTCTATGAACAATCTAATTCAATTTATTTTCTAGCATCGTTGCTGGAACAGGAAAACACCAATTCGGACAAACCCAAATTACTAGTAAATCTTTAGGTACACTATCGCTACTGAGTCAATCGAAACGCTCTGAAGTTTCTTTTAACGGTTATCTGGAACTTACTGAGCAACCAACGATTCCATCCACGTTTTCATCCAATGAACTTGAACCATCACTATCATCATCCGCACAAAGAAAGTTACAAAGTCCAGTTTTTGTTAGCTTAATTTTGGACAAGTGTCCAACACACTGTGTTCACGGGTTTTTTAATATTACTCCAAAACATGCGATATTTAAGTCTTTAAATAGCTCATCTACAAAAGATGGACAGAAGATTGCGTATTTTGGTGTTGTCTGATGTAAATAAAGCGTATGAATGAAATTTGTAGTAAATAGCATTATTTAACATATACCGATACGTATAAGCGTAAGGTTTTGATGTCTTTGTATTGCATTTATAAGCAAATAAATAGTAATACTCGAAACAAAATGTTGGCAGATATCCACCTTTAACTTCTAGACTTACGCAAAATTTCTATTCTTTATGATAAAAATAAAGGAAATATGTAAGCTTGAATATGGAGTAAAAGTCTAATTACCGCAAAATATTTTAGGTTTATCTTTCACTATCACAGGTAGAAAAAAATGGTTGGTACACTACGTAGTGATTTTTTGTGAACTCCAGGAATTCCAGATTTCCTAATGGTTTCCTAGTAAATTTCTAATAATTCATTGAATTTAAATCCGTAATTCCTCTAAAAAAAACTACTATATAGTAATAGTGTTTAGCTCTTTTCTACCTGTGTGCATGTACGTATATTGATTTTTAATCGTATATCTTGATTCCAGCAACTAAAAACACATTGGAACTTCCACACATAAGAATAAATGCTATGCTAAGTCTGAGATTGAGCCTATAGAAGGATTTAGATTGGCAAAAGAAAACATCCGGATGAGTTAAATCATTCTAAAGCTGCAAATTTTAAGCTGCTGACTACCCGGAGCAGTCACAGTCAGGGTTCGATTTAGTGACTATTAAAATTTAACAAGGATAGATTTTGCCCAAACATAAATCACGATACTATTTCCTATGAATGGGAAACCGATTACAGTATCGTTAAATCAAATATTCTTTTTTTTTGTCTGGAAATAAAAATAAGCTCCTGTGAGAACATCAAACATTGTAAATGATCTATTTTTTTTCTTTGTTTAATATGCATGTGCACAATGTACATGTATATGTAATCACATTTACGTATTACCGTTACGTGATTTCCTAACGGTAAGGTGTGATCTAATTTTAATACGTATAATCCAAGATATTGACCTGATTTTTATCTGAACCCCCCACAAAATCACGCAATAAATGTCTCTACCCTTACATGTTTTTAGCCAAATTATCTTTGGAACCAGTTTCATATTTTGAATAGATCTATTCTAAATCGGCTTTAATATAAAATCAGATTGATAAAACATGTTATAATACAAGCTTATCTCGATTACAATCACCCTTGAGACTACAAAAATTGTGACCTTAAAGAGTTTGTGATTATATGGAGGTCAAATTTCCTATGCTTCATAATCATAGTCGGGGTTAGGAAAAGGTATGATTGTAGAGAGGGGTCTGACTGTATAAAAATAAAATCAGTTCAAAATCTCTAATGGAGTTTTTGTGCATACATGTACAATTAATATGATTGCATAATTTTTTGGGCTTCGATCTTATATACATGTAGCATAAACTAACTTAAAGCATAAAGCTATAGTAAACCATTTTAAATTCTAGATGATTTATTGGCCACTTGACTAACGATATTTAATGCAGTTAATATCCACAATTGGAGAAATTCAAAACTTCTTACAGAACTAGTCAGGAATTTTGTGTAAATTTCATACAGTCAATATTATTACAAACAAACCCGAAATTTCTTCGTTATAGAATTGGTCGTCTTACTAGAAAATTCTGTAAAACATTGAGGTAAGTTTAATACAGATGATATTCACAGTACGTACTTGTATATAAATTCCCAATTTCTTGCTACAGAATTGGTTACTTGACTAGAGAAATTTGTATGACATTAAGGTAAATTAATGCAGGCAATTACAAGTACATGTAGATAAATTTAATTAGGATAAACAATGAATTCAAATTTTTATGTATGCACTAGTTCAGATATAAAAATTGGTGATTAACTTCACAAATATTGTATAAAATAATTTCAATAAGAAATTTCTCTTGAATAATTATTCTTCCTTATAATTTTCCGTCCTTTTATATTAATTGATATTCTTCCCAAATTTGTTAATGCACACACGCGATATATTATATAAATTCTTAAAAATTTGTAAATTAAAACTTCACATCCATAAATCAGTTTATCAATATTTTGAGCAAAAAGAAAATGCCTGGTAGGTCTGCTCATCTGTGAGGGTAAAGAATTTAACGACTCTTTCATTAATTATTTTGTGTATATATAGATGTTCAGAAATAACAAACATTTCAAATTCCTTATATTACAGGATTTACCGATACAAGTAAATATGACAACCTAACTCAAGTAATAAAACTTAAACATGAAACAGAATGTTATGGATTGCCATACGGAGTATTCGGACTAGTCTGTTGGGGTTTAACACTTATCTCTATCATTTTAACCTATGTGAATATACCGTTGATATCACCGTGGCGCTGGGGTAAAAAATATAAAAGACAAAAGCCAGCAATGTTATTCATCTCGGCTGTTACGACAATTGGTCCGGTCATTTATACAGGTATCGCTTGTCGTGCAGATTGGATGTCAATACTGATGGCAATTGGCCAACTCACTCCTTGGAGTCTCAAGATAGCCAACGATGGTTATGTGATTAAGGTGGATGATGGCTTGGAAGGAACCTACCGCGCTTTTGGATTCACAATGACAATTTTACTATACATTGTTGGTTGGTTAGGTTTGGAGATGGCGTTTGTTGATCCGAAAACGAATTCTGTCGTGGTTATAGTCACGATGATAGGCTTAGTGATATGTCTACTATGCTACACGTATTACTGGGCACTCATGCATAAATGTCTGCATACTTGTTGTTCCATCGTAATATTTTATATTCTAATGACCTCTCAGATCGTAGGATCGCACATAATTCTTGCCCTACTTAATAAAAATTGGAGTGGAATTGCTCCTGATGGAGCCGGGCAAGCATCAGCTATTATTTTCTTTATTGGAAAACGTCTGCTATTTTTAGATTTAGATTTCAATTAAATAAAAAACTGTAAATATATATAATCAACATTCTTATAACCCTTAATTTGGATAGAACAAATTCATATTTTAATAAAAAGATTTATTGCTTGTAATTTTTAAGGCGAGAAAATCACTTGTCCTTACTCATATCCTGAGATTAAAGAAGTTCCATAATGTTAACAGTTCCTCGATTTTGTATCCCCGTTCGTTAAATATAAAAGTCCTTAAACTCTAAAGTAAATATGACATTCTGATAAAATGCAGATCATCAAAAATCTGCAGAAGCATTTGAACATATAATTTCGATAGAAAAAGTCACACCTAATAGCCTCACTTATGAAAATCATTGAGTTTTGATAACAAACAACTTACCTTACTAATTCTAATAAGTGGAGTACTGCCTGAACTTTTGAATTTTAAAATCAAATCGAATATCTAAAGTCCAACAGTGATACTTGCTCTTGGACTAGCTGAAAGAAACTCAGAAAGCTAGAAAGTAAGAATAAGCGTTATTAACTTACTTTTTTCCCGTAAGCATATATTTTTACAGTTTTCCTAATATAGTGAACCCATCAGATTAGGTATAGTACCGGACAGCAAATTACATCCAATTTTTTTGAGTTTATACAAAGTATTATAACTTTTTAACAAATGATTATACATGTACAAAAAAATCCTCTTACAGATTAATTATTCTTTAATCAAGCTACAAATCTGTAAAAGGAAATTTTATTATTTTTTGTTTTGAAGAAATTATAACAAATTTTATTTGTTAAATTTAATAATAAAGCAAAAATTGGCGCTGGAAAATTGACCAATCACAATGCATTTAATCACATATTTCTTTTTTTGGAGTAAATGTCATTTATGATTCGATTTAATGACAAAAATATTTTATGCTCGCAGTGTTTGACAAACATGGACTTTAAATTACATTAATAAACAAAAAAAAATAAGCAATGGATAGCGGTTTTAGGAGGTTTTGTGCACCATCGACCTACCTTACCTCAGACAATCACTGATACTCTTCCTTCTGTGATCAATGCTAATCATGATCCTCAAAATGATGAAAAAAGGCAAGCATGTAAAAACGACGGAAATTGCAAGGAATAGCACGAAATGGCACGGCATGATACGTACGAGAAATACGACAAATCCATATACATAAACACGTTTCGGGCATGGTTTTTTAACACAGAAATGGCATGAATTTGACAGTCTGTACTTATGCGTACGGTTCCGTACTAAAAAAAGGTACCAAAAACATGTTTATGTATACGAAATTTATTGCGTTTCCCGTGCATGTATATACCATGCCGGACCTTTCCTTGCAATTTTTGTGAATCATACGTGCTTGTGTTTTTATAGGAAAAATAACAACGATACACTTATCCATATTAACAACGACCACAATAACAATAGAAGCGCGAAATTTTGTTATTGTTGCTATATTCAAATTACCAATACTCTTATTTTATAAAATTTCTATCAATTCTTAGCATTACTGACTATAAATCAATCAATCATTAAGGCTGAACTTTGAATAAATGAATAATTTAATTTCATCATAATCGACAATCGGTACATAGCGATAGCGATTAGATTCTGCTGTGTTTAATTAAAACTTTGAATGTCAGAGATAATAATGTAATAATGATTGGTTATTTAAAAATTATTCTTCTCTTTCTGTATGTCGCAAGCACCAATTGTTTGTTTCGTCGTTATTCCGATGTCAATAAGAGCCATTCTACGGAGGCCTCCCAGAATATTGTGGACACTTTTTAAAATATAATAACACAAAAACCAATAGATTTATTAAATCATAATGTACATTCTTTTAAAAAAGCGTAAATTTTTAATTTAGCGTTAAACCGAAATTCATTATTCATCTCGTCCAAGCCGATACAGATTCATTTTGTCCAAACTAAGACGCGTTTTGCTTTGATTCGAGATGCGTTCCATTAGCTCATGTATTAGCAAATCATATTTGTATCACAAAACGTGTAATATGCTAATTTAATAATAAATATTTGAAGAGTTATATAGAATTTTATAATAAAATTTAATAAATACAAAAGTAAAAAATTAATTATCATTAACTTTTATTTATTAATAAATATTATAATTTGTACTTATAAATAAAATTGTAACTCAAGTTTAAAATTATAAACTAAATATATAATACTATATATTAATTTTAATTCAAACTTGAACAAAACTCAAATTTATACAATAATTCAATTTGAATTTGATTCAATCTTCAACTCAAGTTAAAGTTTGATTTGAGTTTGATTCAAATTTTGAATTCAAACAAAAGTTCAATATGATTTAATTTATAAAAATACTAATTACAAGTAATTATTATAAACATAACATATATTTTAAATAGAATTAAATAAGTTTCTTAGATTTTAAATTTTTCTATATTAAAATTAGTTAAAAAATTTCTAAAAATAATAAATATCTTAATAATAAAACTTTGAAAATAACTTATAAAGTATTTTAAGTTATATTTTTATATTGATTTTAATTTTAAAAGATAGATTATTTATAATAAATAATTTTAAATTATTTGAAAGACTTATTATTATTTATCTTTAATTATAATTTCTAATTTTTTTCATTATAATTTTTAACTTTTTACATCTTTTACTTAGTATAGTATATAAAATTTAAATTATCAAATATTTATATTTTATAAAATATATAAACTTTTTACTAAGAAATAAATAAACAATTTAATTTATAAATATGATAGAATAGATCTTTTTTGAGCATATTTATAAATTAAATTTTGTATTTACTTCTTAATATAAAAGTTTATATATTTTATAAACTACAAATATTTGATGATGTTAGATTTTATGTACTATAAAAACATGTGAATATTATATAAATAACTTGAAACTTGTAAAAATAATAATATTATTAAATAATTATTACTTATATTTTATTGAATATTAGCTAAATATATTATAATTATATACTAAATATATATTTATTAATATATTAAATTATATTTTAAATTATATTCTAAAATATATTTTAAAATACATACAAAATATATATCTATAAATTAGTTTCAGAATTTTTATATTTTTTATTTATTTTAAAATATTTCTCTATAATAATATTATAATAATAAATTAAATTTATTAATTTTGATTCAAAAATTTTTTAAATAATAAATAATTATTTATTTAACAAAATTTTTATAAATAAGAATAAATAATTATAAATAAATAAATATTAACTTAAATTTCTGTATAATTAATTTTAATTTTATTTAAATATCAATTCAAAATATAAGTCAAATTCGAAAAAAATATTATTAAAACTTATTATTTATTAATATATGAATTAAATACAAATCAAAAAAAAGCTTAAAGTTCTTATTTTAAACAAAATTATTATTAAATAAATTTTGAAATTTAATATAATCTTTATAAATATAAAATAATATTAATATTGATATTAATAATTACATTACTAATATTAAATATTATATTAACTTAATCAATCAAATTGCAAAATCAAAAAATTTAATTAATTAAATTACAAATTAATATGTAATAAAAAATTTTAAATCAAATATAAATTTTTGAAAAATAATTTATATTTTGAAACTTTTTTATAAAATTATTTTTTTTATCAACAAAAAATATTTTGAATTACTAATTTTATTTTTATCTCATTTCAAATTCTAATTAAAATTAATAATTTTTTTATTTTTTTATATTATTAATATGATTTATAATTTTTATATAAAGATATATAATCAATTTTTAAATAATACTATTTTTGATTTAATAAAACTATAAGCTAAAATCTTAAAATTCATATATATATTTTTATAATTTATTTTAAAAACAAATTATATTAATATTATAATATTTTGCAATATTAATAATTGATATATTTAATGTTTAAAATTAATAACTTTGTAAAAAAAAACTTTGAAACGTTAAAAATATTTCATTACTTTAAAGTATATATACTGAATATATATTAATTATTTATTTTGAAATTATTAAATACAAATAATTCTCTGGTTAGTATATGAATTATTAAAACAAATTATTATAAATATTGTTCAAATTGGATTTTTGTATATAACTTTTATAAATAAAATTTTTTTTTATAGTACATGACTTTTAACTTATTAATAGATTATGTTTATAAATTCAATAACCTTTTAACAATTTCAAAATTTAATTTATAAATATAATCAAGAAAAACCTATTTGATCATAAAGTTATTATTTGATTCCAAATGATTCAAACAGTTTCACAAAAATTATTAGTTTTAGAGATAATTTTTTTCTCGCAAGTTACTAATTAAACTTGTTTATAATAATGGGTTAATGTAAGTTACTTATTTTCAATAAGTAATAAAACTTCTTGAGAAATCAAAATTTTTTAAAATGTATGGTGCATAAAATCTAAAGTCATCAAACGTTTGTATTTTATAAAATATATAACCTTCTTTACTAAGAAGTAAATACAAAATTTAATC